TGAAGTGTTTGGCTCTCTGTACTGGGTATATTAAACAGAGAATACCTAGTGAGAGGTTGATGGAGCCTACACAAGTGTTCTTGGGGACAGCTTTGACATCATAGGGACAATGGGAATTATAGAAATGGATTCTGTTGGTTTGGTCAGTCTCCTATCCTCTGAGTCTCAAATGACTTTGAGTAGATGTGGATATTTAAGGAAATTAAAACATATAGTTCCTTTGGAAGACATAGTAAGCTATCTGCCCTTGTATTTTAGCTGATTTGTTCATTCATGCATACATGCAGCCATCCATCGATAATCATTGAATACCCACAGTGTGCCAGATATATAAATAGAAGCATTCTATGACATCTTTCAAAGAATTCTAGTGGTTTGATTTATCTGCATTTTCACTGTGGGACATTTAAACTTTAAAGAGCGTCAACCTTTAAACTGAGTTAAATTCTGTTAAATTTGTCTGTCATTCCTCACACATACACACAGTCTGTCCCCAAATCCTCGGAATGTGGGACTTAGCTTGTCTGATAAATCAGAATGGAGAGATGTTTATAACATTGACCTTCCTGGAAAAGAAGTATGCCATCCTCTGCTTCCCTTTCCCTGAGACAGATACTACTGACCTCATTGGTCTTCTCTGCAAAGTGGGGATGATGATAATCCTACTTCATCTGGCTGAAGGAGGATTAAATTAGATTGTACAAAGGCTCTGGAGATGTAGACTTTCACTATAGCCCAGTCCTGCCCACACGAGAGAGGACCACACATGTCATCCTGTGGAAATTGTAGCTGTAGGACCCGGGAGGGCCACCGGGATGGACAGGGAAGCTGGGAAGGTTTGTGTCCTGAGAGAAGGCCAGTTGTGGATGAGCTCAGACCCTGATCACCTTTTGAAGGTGGTGTTACAGCCTTTAATTAAAAAAAAGTAATTAGGAGAGCATTCCCTTGTAGAGGTAACCATCAAGACTTGAAAGTACATATTTCCAGTCGGGCTTGGTGGCTCAGCCTGTAATCCCGTGCCTTTGGGAGGCTGAGGTGAGTGGATTGCCTCAGCCCACGGGTTCGAGACCCGCCTGGGCAGGCGAGACCTCATCTCTACAATAAGTCAACAATTAGCCGGGCATGGTAGCGTGCGCCTGTAATTCCAGCTACTTGGAAGGCTGAGGCGGAAGGATCGCCGGAGCCCATCAGGTCGAGGCTGCAGTGGCCGGGAGTGGCCACTGCACTCCAGTTTGGGCGACAGAGTGAGACTCCAACTCGAAAAAAAAAAAAGAAAGTACATATTTCCTTTCAACTATTATATTTGTAGATGCTCTACTTCACCCCCCATCTATCCATTTCTCTGTCCCTGACTTTCTCTCAAGATGTTGTGAAAGACAGCTTTTGTGAGCTAACTTCTTTTAGAGCCAGCATTAAAAAAAAAAAAAAAAAATCCAGCTTTTTGCATGGTGTAATGGACCATGACAGTAGATGATAAAATTGTTGTAGTTATGTCATGGGTTTTATTTGATATCTAATATGCTTTCTGAAAGAAAATGCTTGAGATGATTCACAAATTTGTTAGAGAATAAATCCAAAATGTCTATAGTTTCATATAATCAGGGATATCTATTAGGAAGATAAGAGTTATATACTCTTTTTCTTCTTTAATTTGGAATTGAGATTCCCTTTCTCTGCCTATTTTATGCAATTTGTTTAAATCTTAGAAATGAAGTATTTGGCTCTCTGTACTGGATATATTAAATAGAGAATACACTGTGGACCTGAAACCAGGCCTGGGACTTGATGGTGAGGGTCACCATAATTTGTTGTCCAAATAGGCCTTTTTTTTCCCCAGCACCAGACTGAGGGCAAACTGGGACAAGTGGCTATTCTTTCTAATGACCCTTGTCTTTTTTCAGTCCCTGCTCTGATTTCTGGTCTCTTTTTGTTGCATAGTACTTCTAGAATTTGTTGAATGCACACAGCTTGGCATGGTGTAACTGAGGCCTGGGAGAGTCATGGTATATAAATGCTATGTTTTGACACCCTACCCATGGCTCATGTCAGAGATTTTAGGCAAAGAGAACTATGATACTGTCTTTTAACATGTATTTGTATTTGTAGACACACATACATGTACATGTGTAATTATACAATTTTTTTGACATATGAGGAGATTGAGGCACAGAGAGGTTAATTTCTGCAGCTAGGGCTCCATAGCCAGATAGTAGCAGAAAAATTTCCCACCCTATTCTTTGGGCATTGCTTTAAAAAGTGTGTACAGAGTATCATATTTATTTTATAATTTTGATTATAGAAATGGAACCATCCATGTTGCCCATCGAAGCTGGACTGGATTTTAAAAATGTGGTACATATACACAATGGAATATTATGCAGCCATAAAGAAGGACAAATACATGGATTTTGCAGCCACTTGGATGGATTTGGAGTCGATCATGCTCAGTAATTTATCACAGAACCAAAGAACTGAGTTCCATATGTTCTCACTCATAGGCTGACCTTGCACAATCATAATGCTATAAGAAAGTGATTGGCAGTAGTGGGAAACTGTCAGGAGGGGGCGTGGGATTGGCAGTTGAGGACAACTGCTAGGAGAGGGAGGGGCATACCTCATCAACAAGGGTACCTGCATGATCAATGTTTATATACCTAACCCTGAATTGTACCCCACATCTTTATAATAAATAATTTTTTAAAAAAGAAATGTGATAAGTTTTGGTGATCAAGGGATATGCTATTATATTTGTTCCTAAAATTAAGAGAAAAAAGTTTTAAGAAAGTGATTTGAAGCTTAAAAAGACAAGGAGGGATCTATAAAACATTGTATCATGTAATAAATGAAAAAAAAAATTTGAATGCTTTTTAAAATTATTTGAGGCTGGTAGCAAAGGTGAGGAAGTTGCTATTGAAGAGATTCTGTTGAGTAAATTTCTTGACTTCCCGCTGCCTGCCCAAGCATTGTTATGGGGCACACAGAGAATGTCTGTTAACTTGTCAGCAGCACTCAACACCATGGTAGCAACAGTGAAACATATTGACTGAAGATAACCAGTTGATCAAATTCCTTGACCTCCTCCTGTGCTTGCTCAGGCATTGTCACGGGGTGTACAAAGATGAAATGATCAGCCCTGCATTGAGACTCTGCACTATCTAGAAGAAGAAAAGGAAGACTATGTACTAAACCAGCAGGTGTTACAAGGATGACGAAGACAAAGTCCAAAAGGGAGTTTGAACGCAGCGTGTCGGAGTTGTGAGAATGAGGAAGATGGGGGAGGGCTGGGTAGGAATCCAACTGAGAAGAGTAGGTGAAAACCATTGAAAGAGTTGATTTTGGCCTTTATACCAAATTAATTTTGTTCTCTTACCTTATTCTTCACTTTTTTCCTGGACCTCTGTCTTTTCACACCCCACATTCTACCCTTATACCTTAAAATCAGGAGGCAAATAACCACAAAGCAGGAAATGTCAGCGAAATAAGTTCTAGACTCTCTCTGGTGGTCACTGCTCAGTAAATTCCTTCTTCACCACTAGCTCTAGCACCATGATTATTGTTCATAGTGAAGACCCAGTGTCATCAGGGAATGGTTATACTACGTGTCAAGAAAGTGAGATAAATAGTTATTGTATCTCTGAATTTCTACATTAAAAAGAATTAAGAATGCACAAATTTTGGGAAAACTCCAGTTTCTAGAAGATTTACATATTGCAAAAGAGTGATTATTATTTCTTCCGAACTTTATGCCAGAGAGCCCTGTGTAACAGATATTATGTTGCATTTTCCATGTGTATCATTTCTTTACAGTCTTCCATTTTCCTGCTTGAATAAATTTCTTCACTTTTACTTGAAGTAGGACCCAGTAGAATATTATGTGGTACTGTATATGTAAATTTTATTGGTCCTGCTTTAAAAAAAAAACATTCTTTGAAATCTACTCTTCTTTAATCTCATCAAGTATTATTAAAGAAGCTTCTTCTAAGACTTACAGTTTGTACATTTATCAATTGTTGCCTTTGGCCAACATTGAATTAACTTGGCTAATACTTTCATATTATATTAAATTATTCTGCATTAATAGAACATGTTAAATGTTACTGATGAAAATGAATATTTACAGAGCCTTAGTTCTTGAGCATTTAATCTAAAAGAACTCTTATATTTTAAGCGCTTTTTTTTTTTTTTTACACAGCTTTGCTAGAGATGTAACTATGCCTTTGGGGCCCCACACATTTCACCTGCTCTCCTTCAGTGCCTCATTCACACCACAAATGTGACCAAAAGTGAGACTGAGTCTTCCCATTCTTCTTGACATGGACATTGTGTTGGCTTAGGATAAAAACCATTTTGCTGATGTTTGTGAATACATCCAACTTATCAACTTGTCTGGTACATCATGCCCTTTGACATCCTTCATTGCTCCTCATCAGAAAGAAGCAAATACCCACGAAGCAGAGAATTTTAGAAAAGCATAAGGGATTGGGGCTGAATATAGCACACTTTGATTATAGAGTCAAAAATGGCCATGTTTATGACTAGAGATGATCAAAAGCACTCTCTCTGCATGTGTAATTAGATGCTTAGTAAACATTTTCCACAGTAAAACTATAACATGGCTGTTGCTCTGTGTTAGTAAGAAGAATATGTTACACCATTTAAAACTCATAGTTTTTTATTTATATATCTCACTTATGTATTTATATTTTCATCTGATAGTCTTCTATCTAAATCTCATTAGAACTTGAGGATCAGGGGGTTTAAATGTTTTAAAAGGATTTATTTTTTTAATGTCACTGCTGGGGAAGAAAGGAAAGAAAAACAAGTTTATATATTAAGTCTGTATTACAGCTACTGATGTAAATATTAACAGTGTATGCCCATAAAATCCTAATAGCAATTTATTAGGACAATTGAATAATGTGTAACTGATGGTATTAAGAATAGCTATAGAAAAAATAACTTCTGACTGCCTGCTTTTTTTTTTTTTTTTTAACTTTTAGATTTGTAGCCAAACCATGTGCCATAGCTCTCAACATTCAGACCAGTGGACCACAAATTGCCCAGCCCAATGCCATTCTGGAAAAGGTCTTCACTGCAATTACAAAGGTATGACTGTCCTTCCTGGGGGTATGAATTGTCCCGATCACTATTCTCAGCCTGCGGTCATTCAGTTCTTTTTCTTCTGGGTTTGCTGGAAAGTATGTTCTCAGAAAGAATGCAAGTACAGTATTATAATGAGTTCCAACCAGAAGAAGCAGAGTAGAGGTGGGCGTCTCTTATACCTGTTAGTTTACTCTCAGGTTGACTTTTAGTAACTTGTCTGTGAAGAATAGTCTTGATTAGATAGCTTTTAGTCTAATTCTATGCCTTCTTTAATCTCACATGACCTTAAGTGATGCAGATGAGGGCTGGGTGGGACTTTGTAGAGATGTCTGGGAAGAGCCAAAGAATTTGATTTATGTATGTGTGATAAAAAGGACTGGTTGGCTTATGGTGTTGTCCATAGATTCTAGGAGTTGTGATAAATAGACATAAGTCGACAATAATGGAGATGACAGAAAGGCTTAATTGAAGAATAAGAGTTGCAACATGAAGGAATGAAGGATGAGGGTCAGGAAAATGTTATGTGAAGAGATGGGTGTACTGTGGAGTATAAAAAAGAGGAGATAATTTGGTGGGAGTTTAAGTCCAAACTAAGAGTAGGAAAAAGAGAGCAGGAAGGGTGGGAGGAGGAAATTGCTTCCCCTCCCTTACTCCCACCCCAAGTTTGTATCCCCTTCAAAATGAAGAGGAAGAGAAAGCCGGAAGTCAAAAACCCTCAATCTAAGGCCATAAGAAAATAAAGCAAATTATAGGTATTATGTGTCTCATCTTACACTTGCCTGGACAAGAAAGAGGAAAGATAAGGAAAAGTATAACATTCTATGAAAAGTATTATGATGTGTTCATATATTCAGTGGTTCATTTTCCCTTTTTCACTTTTCTGAGAGAGTGACTTAGACTTCTAAGATGTGATTTGATAGTGTTAAGCAACTTCGATTCCTTTTCATGGTATTTGTGTTGCTAGCCATTTGTACTATTTGTCTCTTGTCTTACAACTATGAATTCAAATATCCAAACACTAAATTTTTTCAGTTTTAAAGATGTGAGGTACAATTCAGGGTTAGGCATAAAAACGGTCAACACTTTTTTTTTTTTTTTGAGTTGAGATTTCACTCTGTTGCTCAGGCTGGAGTGCAGTGGCATGATCACGACCATCATGACGCATGGCAGCCTCGACCTCCTGAGTTCAGGTGGTCCTCCTGCCTCAGCCTGAGTAACTGGGACTACAGGCATGTGCCACCATGCCCAGCTAATTTTTTGATTTTTGATTTTTTTTTTGTAGAGATGAGGTCTTGCTAGGTTGCCCAGGCTGGTCTTTAACTCCTGAATTCAAGCAATCCACCCGCCTTGATCTCCCAAAGTGCTGGGATTATGGACATGAGCTACCATGTGGAGCCCAAATACTTTTATTTATTCTATGGTCTTCATTTCTGCCAAAATTCTCTACAGTTTTCCCCCTCTGTCCTTTTAAAAATGGTATTTTTCCTCAAGAAGTTTAAGAAAGTACCAGGTGTTTTTTTCATCTCTGCTCAAAAGAAAAGAATGAATGGAATTTTAGGAAAAACTCATTTGGTAGTTTTATGAGATGATTTTAGATTGCCAAGTTTCAACCTGAAGGGACGCATATCCTATGGTATTTAAAAGAAGAAACTATTAAGAAAAAGCTTGCATTTTCATTTAGCAGATCAATTTACAGCAGTGGAGCACCTTTTTCCCTCTTAAAAAAAGCAGATTGTAGGGAATTGTCAGGTTCGTTTTAAGATGTGATTACAACACATTTGTATTCTCTTTGTGAATTACTCTTAAGTATATGAAACATACAATACTCTAAGTGAATACTGAAATGAGTTTTTAATCCAAATTTGATTGCCTACTTTTACAAATCCTGCAGTGGACATTGCTTCTCTTGCCTCATGTTTATTATGGTTACTGGAGAAATTTCCTTCATAAAGGTAATGAAAAGGTTTTGGAGCCAGGTTGACTGCTCTGAAGAATCCTTGCTTCTAGCTAATTTTAATGATCATATTCTCTTAGTTTCCAAGGTGATTCCTTTGGAGGTTCTTACATGATTAAAACAGAAGCCTCATGTTTTAAATATAAATGAAGAAAAAGTTGGAACTGCCTTTCCTTGTATCCTTTGTAGTTTTCCAGTCTTATCTGGAATATGAAATGTAACAGATCAGTTTACTGGTTTGGAGAACAGGACTTAGAGAGCTCAAACAAAGTGTCTGTGTTTGTGTGATCATCCAGCATCTCGGTTCCAAGTGACCTTTTGAAGAAGGGCATAATTATAAACCCTTCAGGTATAAGGGATGAGCCCTCAAAACTCAAAATCTCCTCTGTACAGGACTGGCTACACAGTTTGTGAGCCCAGTGCAGCATGAAGTAGGATTCTCTTGTTCAAAAAAGCACACAAAAAAATTGCCATTAAAAGTATAGAAATAAAAAGCTTTTTCTGCCCTCCCTCATTCAATCTCTCTCTACCTGTCAAGGTGGTTTTTTGTTGTTGTTTTCTGTGTAATGTCATGCCCCCTCAGGCATGGGGTACTCACAGGGCTAGCGTAAACCCTCACAGGTACCTGCAGGTGCCACCCTGTGACTTAGTGTTCACATGGCCCACCAGCTCCTGGGTTCCCCTTCTCTCCAGTCATTGATTGATGTGTTATGCCTGGCCAGGAGTGCAGAGAAATTGAGAGAGGCCTCTCTCCTGTTCACAGGCCCACTGCCTCAACCCGTGAGGGACAGTGACCTCCAAGTACATTGCAACCCTTGGGTCCAGATCAGGGATAGATAAGAGGCTCACCCTTACTGAGTCACCCACCAAACCCACCGAGGTAGCTATCTCCATGCCCCCACCCAAGACACCTTGGTGGGTATAAACCCAAGTACACTGCTACTCCCCCTACTTTCACTCAGACCCCTACTGGGAGCTGAAGGCAGCAGCAGTCATTAGTTGGTGGGGAGTGGAGGAGGCTAGTGGGATGGGGAATTGGGTGACCACATGCCCATCTGGTGGAAGCGGTGAAACTGTGAATGAACCGAGACTGCAAGCCCCTATGACATGCTCCTTTGCCCCATAGCACATCACTTATAAAACATGGATTCCATGATAAAACTATTAAGAATTTCAAGATGGTGGCCACAGGGCTTTCAGCCCAAAGTGTGGGCCCTTCTAGATGGGAGGCCTTGAGTGGTGGTGCTGGTCATGTGCCCTGAGTGTGTAGCTCTCATCTGTGAAATTAGCTGACAAATTTGAACCTGTTCATATTCTCCAAAAGTCTCTGCTTTTGAGGTAACACCTGTCTGTTGCCTCTCTGTTCTCTCTCCCATCCTCTAAATTTAAAGTTTTATAAACATTTTAGAGAACTGAACCCTGCTATAAAACAATTAAAATTTTGGTGCTTGAGTCAGTCAGACCTGAGTTTGTATGTTGGAACCTTGGCTCTTCTGCCTTCTAGCTTGTGGCCTTGACCAAGTTTCTTAACCTCTGTAGGCAGTAGATATTTTGTTTCTAAAAATCTTTGAGTAACTTTCTCACAGACATTCATGAGGGTTAAATAAAATAGTACATGTAAGTCGTTCAGTAAATGGTGTGGCATCTATTTGGGCCAGTGACTCCCACACTTTAATTTGCACTGGGGTCACTTGCACAGTTAAAATGCAGATTGCTGCATCATATTTCTAGAAATTCTGATTCAGTAGCCTTGGAATGGGACTGAAAAGTCTACAGTTATGGATTGTCAGACCCATTCACATGAACAGAATGATTATTTATCTTTAGTGAATATTTTTTTAGTTCCTGTTTCTTAACTGCTTATTTTCAGAGTCATTTGGGTAAATATATCTTTAACTTTTGGGGATTCTTCTGCCATATTAATTGCACATACCTATGATGCCAACTACCTCAATTTCCTAATCACATCAGTTCTTAAGCCATAGAGGTAGGAATATGTCAGGGAAATCATGTCATAATCCAATTTTGACATACTAGACTGTTTTTAAATTGTAGGCACATTCCCTATAATTTGTTTTCCCTAATTTTCCTCATCTCCTAGTCTCCTTCATTTTTGTTTACTTTCCTTTGTCCTCTTCCAGTGCTAGTTTAGGTTAATGTTATTAAAATTAACCCAGGCATTTTTGCATGGGTTAATGTTTATATGCATAACCACTATTTATTTATTTATTTATTTCCATGGAAATCTTCCAAAAACACTTGTGGAAAATAAGGAAAACAGCAGTAAGAAAATACACATACATGCACATGTGCATGTAAAAATAAAAATCACCCAAGCTTTATATTTGGCAAATCAGGAGATACAGATCTCTAGATTTCAAAATATAGTATATGAAGGCTAACAAGAAACATTTGGGATTGGGCAGAAGATAAATAGGAGGAGGTGTCAGGCAAGAGTTAGGCCCAGTAGGGTTAGATTTCAAGAAAACCAGCACAAAGACGCTCCATCCCACTTGCAGCAGTAGGTGCAGGAACTGGTGAGCCATGCTGGTGGGAGGAGGGGAGAAGGCACACAGAAAACCTTAAGTCTGGTCCCTTTTCAGGAGGTGGTCTCTCTCAGTGGCAGCTAGACTGGAAGAGCATCCTTGCTGTTCTCCATACTGTAAGTAGCTGGTCAGGAAACTCCAATTCATTCAAAGATGGTTAATAAAGAAGCGACTCACATGACATCCAACAAAGACAATAAAAAGAGTGTGGCAATGCTCCTTAACAAAAATTGTCACTAGAAAAATGAGAACAAAGAGGCAAACAAAAATTGTGCTGAAATATTAATATTCCCCTTTTAATATTCCCAAGAAAAATGTGAACTAAGAAATTTATGCCTCGCCAAAATGATTTTACCCTGTAAATGCTACAGGCATATTTGAACATGAAAAGCTTTAGGGGAGTTATTCCGTGTGCCTTTCTTGAAGACAATGTTAAATCATTAGTTTTAGCTGAAGAGAATACTGGGAATGCTTGTAAGTTTCAAATGTATTTCAACTGAAGA